GTTTCAGGTTCTTTCCCTTATTTTAGTCTATCGATTTATATTATAAGCAAATTCATTTTACAATTAACAAGTTCTACCTCTACTCACTCACCACTTTTCATATTTATGATATTTATTTTTTAAAGTTTTGTTTTTCTAATTACATTATCTACTTAACACGCCTTATAGGCGAATGAGGATGAAGCATCTCTTCATTCCAACTGCCTAATTGATTCTGATGGTCTGAGCCATGGCACTTCCGGGCATACGGCAACATTAACGACAGCTGGTCTTTGTTGTGAGACCGGGCAGTCGCCCAGTCTTCATTCTGAAGATGGTGGTCCACATGGTGGTATTGGTGATCACCTTGAAGAGTTTTCTGGAGCATCTGGTTCTGTGAGTTTGGATCTAATATTATATTTAGTTTTTAAGATTATATTATTTTATGTAACATTATTTTCAGTATATATTTACACCTTTTTTATCGTCTTTATTACACTTGTTTGTTTTCTATTTCAAGTTATACCCAAATTAATCATGCTTATCGCTAGATATTCCTTTCTGGACTAGGATTATGTGCTTATTCTTTATCCTTTGCTAACATAATCAAAGCTTTTTTCTGAATATTTCTTATCTGTATTCACATGTAACTCAATCACTAATTTTCTGCTATTATCTTGGTCTCACATACCGTTAATCTTCTTTATTTTATGCTATTTATGGATCACTTTATAATACCAGGATACCTATTTTATTTATCTATAAAATCCCATATTTTACACTCTTTTACCATAAGAGCATATCTTTTTCTTTCACACCTATTACTATCAGGCTGTCGCAAATCGCAAGATTGGAAGTTTATCAAATCGAGGCAGAAAGCTAGCAAATCTTGGAATTGGTGGATTTAGGGCTAAACCAAATAAAGTTTCTCAGGTTAGTTGCTCTTACTTGCGATCTGTGTATTTCATACTGGCTTATTATATCTCATTTAAGTTTGAATATTTTTATTTTATTCATTTATTTGCTTTAATTTTCTATCACTTTCTACATCTGTGTACTTCCATTATCTTAATTTCCAGCCTTATTTTCTAATGTTTTTTTAGTATTTGCTTTTGAATTATTTTTTTGGTTAATTTTCTTATAATACAAAAGAATATTTATAGTTGACTTTTTGGAAGTTTATTTTATGGAAGTTGTTTGACTTCGTTTCTGCAACTTGGTTCTAGTACCAGAGGGACCGAATTGAATGCACTTTGTTCAAGGCCCTCTGATTAGTAGTTCTGGTAGTTCCCAGCGTCGGACCGTGGACTTATACATCTCCACACGTTTCGCCTGGATCATAGTCGGATTTGTCAGTGCGACGACTGACTGAGATAAAGACA